TGCATCGGCAACTGGAAAGCCGCAGAAGCGGAACTTGCTGGAAAAGGAAATTGCAAACGGATGGGTCATTCAACTGGCATGTCCATGAACAAGCCAGACAACATGAAAGGCATAGCAGTGGGAAAGCTCAACGTCGTGCATGCAGAAGGCAAGGACCCACGACTAGTCTTGGACAGCACAGTGTGTGGGGTGAACCCAAGTGCGCCATTCCAGAACGCATAAGCCTGCAATGGCCTCGGACGTGTATTCCTCCCGAGGACACACATTTGTCCTTTGTAGGAGCAAGCTTTGATTTTAAAGCGGCGCAAAAGCGATCCAAGTCGCCCCAGTGAGCATGGCCTCTTCTGTTCCGTGTCGCCGATATCCTGTCCATTAAGGGTTTGCCACTTCGGAGCACACTTCTCCATACTGGTGGCAGCGCACCGAGCTTTCAGGCTACTGCGCCCACATCGGGCATGGTTATTTGTGGATGACCTTTTGGCAGCACTGCATCGCAGTGGGCGCACGCACAGCTGGCCCTTATGGTCATGTTCTTTGCGCAATTTCTGCTCCAATCTCGTGGAAGAAGGTTCAATTTCAAAATGGCCTCACGTGGTGTGGATGGCGCATTAATTTCCTGCATGAGACATCGAACTCACGCCAGAAAAAACCTTAAAATTGAAAGGGCAGCGGGGAAGGTCAAGCAAAAACTTTGGAGCAGGTTCTAGGCCTACTCATTTGGGCAACAGTCTTTGCCCCGAACTCAGGTCCTGGCTGGCACCTTTGTACACTCTGCCCATGCGCGCTTGTGGCCATCCTTCCTTTCTGCATGGACGCCAAAGCCGTGCTAGGTCAGCAGTGCACGGCATCTTCATGCCACCAGGCTCTAAAGTTCTCGAGTTCCAAGGGGCATGCATTCGCACGCCAGCTGACCTGCCTCGCGTTGTGCCTAGTCACAAATCCGCCTGGGTGCGTGCGGACGCATCCGCGGACACTCGCCTGTCCAAGATGAGCAAACAGGCGTAGAATGGTTGCTGCAATGCTTCCATTTAGACCTTGCATGCCCGCTAAGAAGCAAGCCAATGCTGGCATGCCGCAGATGGGGCAGTGTCGTGGGCATAGGGGTTGGTTCATCACCAGCAGCTCCGTTTCTTGGTTCGCAGAAACTTGGCAATTCCAGGAAGTCCAAGAGCAGTGGCCGTGCCTCACCAAAGAAGCCCAGCGCTACATCGCGTGCTTCGAAACCTTGGCTCAACTAGCACTCATGCGTATCGCATGGTCGTGCGAGGGACAAAGCGTGCGTGGCATATGTGCCCACAGGGACAGATAACACGGCCTCCGAGGCAGGCGTTAAGAAACTGTTCACCACATCATGGCCCCTGCAAGTCTTTGTGCAACTTGTAGCCGCCTGGGCCCATAAACACAAATGGTCAGTGATCGCGTCACACATCCCAGGAGAGCATGATTTCTGGCCTCACGCATCGCTCTCACGTTCGCCCTGCGGACGCACCGTGGAGACTCGAGCACGTGAGTGCATCGCAAACGCACCAAAGAGGGGGTGAGGTGATTTGACCGTTTGCTTAGAACCCTAAGTGGGGGCATTCCGACAGGCTCCGCATGAGATGCAGGAAGATGGAGTGGACGCGCATCGTCACTCCACCTGATCTCAGAGCCTGCGCTTCTAAGCAACGCTCAAGTAAAAAAGCGCGTGTCGAGTTTGCTTCGGTTGGATGCTTTTTTCCTTGCTTGTCCCTGTAGGCTTGAAGCAGTGACCAAGATTCTAACGCTAGGGGTTTGTCTTTTCCCCTGTGTTTTGATCTTGGTTGAATCTTCGGCCGCGTGGCTGTTTCTGCTTCAAGCCTTTTAGTAAGGGACATGTTGAGGGTCTGACCCTCTTTCGTCTTTTTGAACCCACTCCCACCCTTTCACGGCCCAGGTGGAAACCAGCTTCCACAAGGCCTGATTGCGGGGTGGCTGCACACGCATGGTTCAGCCTTTCCGCTTCCAACAATTTGTTGGCTTGCTGCATCCCGCAGGACCCGTCTTGCCTGTGCAAAGAGGCCTGATAGCTACTTGCTGAACACGCGTTGTCAGCAAGCTTTCCAGTATCAAGCATGTTGTCGGCTTACTGATCCCGCAGGACCAGTTTTTAAGCCTATGCAGTGAGGAATGCGCTCGTTGGCCACACCAGTTTGAACCCATGCTGTGCACGCAGTCGCACATCGCTGAATGCCATCGGCATTCTGTCGGACCAGCCTGGTCCCCTTCAGGAGGACGCCTTCCTCCCATGCACACCTATGCACGCACTGCGTACCGATGTGCGCATACCTCCTATTTGTCTCACACCCCGTGGGTAAAACACCTGTGTGATGGTCGAATACGCAATGTTGACCACAGGGGGGCATTCCGACAGGCTCCGCATGAGATGCAGGAAGATGGAGTGGACGCGCATCGTCACTCCACCTGCATCTCAGAGCCTGCACTTCTAAGCAACGCTCAAGTAAAAAAGCGCGTGTCGAGTTTGCTTCGGTTGGATGCTTTTTTCCTTGCTTGTCCCTGTAGGCTTGAAGCAGCGGTGAGCGTGTTGGACGCGAAGAGCTGCGGGGCGGAGACCGTGCCCTACCGCCAGCATCCAGAAATCCGCGCGTGCGTGCAGTCAGCTTCTGGAAGAGGTCCATGTAGGTGATTTGGGACGACCAAGTTGCTTGAGAAAGGCGCAGGCCTTGAGATTGGCGTGAGAGCATCACTGGAGCGTCTCCTCTGCATGCTGACCACCACTGTCCCTCCGGCCCCTCCGGGTCCAAGTAGTCCAAGAGCTGCACCGCGCGTGGACCAGGTTGTTTCGGGAAAAGCTGGAAAAGCTCCCCAGGGAGCCGGGGAGCCTGGGCGAAGAGGGACAGGGAGAGGGAGAGAGGGAGAGGAGAGGGAGATGCAAAAAAACCAGGGAGAGCGGTAGGTAGATAGATAGACAGATACTGGCCAGAGAAGCGAGCAACAGGAGATAGAGAAGCAGATAAATCGTTCGTTTGAAGATAAAGAAAAGAAGGGTAGACTGATAGAATGTAGATAGATAGATAAAAGAAAGGTAGGTGGACAGATAGATCGACTTACAAAGGAGAGAGAGAGAGAAAAGCTAGAAGGATAAGTTAGGGCAACAGACTTATAAAAGAGAGAGAGAGAGAGAAATAAGCTAGAAATATAAGTTAGGACAACAGAACTTAGATTGTCAGGTAGGTAGATAGACAGAGAGGTGAACGCTTAGACAAATAGAGCGAGATCTGGAATGTCAGATGGACTACGAAATAACGCCAGCAATAAAGGCAACGAAAAAAAACAAAAGAAAGAAACCAAGGAAGAAACAAGAAAGAACAAGAGAGAAAGAAAGGAAGGAAGGAAGGAAGGAAGGAAGGAAGGAAGGAAGGAAGGAAGGAAGGAAGGAAGGAAGGAAGGAAGGAAGGAAGGAAGGAAGAAAGAAAGAAAGAAAGAAAAAAGAAAAGAGAAGAGAAGAGAAGAGAAGAGAAGAGAAGGAAGGAAGGAAGGAAGGAAGAAACAAAAAAGAAAAAAAAAGAAAAGAAAAAAAAAATAGAAGAGAAGAAAAGAAAAGAAAAGAAAAGAAAGGAAAGGAAAGGAAGGGAAAGGAAAAGAAAGGAAGGGAAGGAAGGAAGGAAGGAAGGAAAGAAAGATAGAAAGATAGAAATAATGAAAGAATGAAAGAATGAAAGAAAGAAAAAAACAGACAAACAGAAAGAAAGAAAGACAGAAAGAAAGAAGAAAGAAAGGAAAGAAGGAAAGGAACAAACAACACCATGACAAACAGCAAGAATATGAAATAGAAACGAAAAGAACGAGAAACAAACACTGTAGTTTTGTTTGGTTACTTCCGCTCGGCTTCGCCGGCTTTACTGGCACAGAAATGGAGCGCTGCCTGAAACTGCACGCATGCTTCGCACACCTCTCCAAAGTCAGCCGGTAAGGTGGAATCCGTGGTGCTTCACGCAGCCTGCCGGCACTGCTGGAAGTCAAATCTTTCCCATTCTCTCTGCCCGCAGCGCTTTTGCCTCCGGTCCTTATCTTCTCAGTGTTTTTGGCCATTCGTGATTTTCCATGCCTTGAGATAATGGTTTTTGCCGGTCAACTGCAAACCACGAGTTGACCGAGCAGCCTTCCAACCATCAAGTTGGAGAGTCGCATAAACCGCAGCGATTCAGACGAGAACCTGTTGCTTTTGTGCTGATGTTGACGAGAGCCAGTTCTGTTGGTCTGTGTGCCTTGGCTTCTGCAATTCGGAGGTTTGGGTGCCAAACACATTTTGTGAATGCGTGGGGCATAGTAATTCAAATTGCATCCGCGCGCACTTTCTCCACAACCTTCCACTACAAACAAAAAGGTGCTTTCCCACAGCTCCGACTTTTTCAGTGAGCGGGAAATGTGCCTGGACGGCCAGGTCCACGTTTGGGTTTCAATGATAGAGCTGTGGCGCAGGCACGGTGCAGTGTCAACATGGGTAGTTCCTGTTGTTAGGTATACCTTCACCAACGAACATGGAGGTGCACAGGATCCCTTTCCAAGAGGAACACGGGCTTTGCGCTTCCAGATGTTGAACCTGGCAAAACTGCGTCATAGATAAGCCGGCGCAGTTTCAAACTGTTCTGCGGAGGTGCGACTTCGGTTTGTGGCCGTTTCAATCTGGCACAATTTGCATATTTTTAGGAAGGAGACCAAGCGCGTGAGGGGTGTCTACAAAAGGCAGAGTTGTTGGAATGGAAAGCTTGTGCGTTCCGAGTTTGAACGGCGTCAAACAGGCAATTCCTAACACACGAAAACAGCCAAACGCAAAAGGAGAGGCATGATTCAAAGTGACGGTGTTGATGATCCAAAGTTTCGATGCAACACATGCAGTTCGATCTCCAAATTTGATGCTGACACAATTTGGCCCATGTAGCTTTTTAGTTGAACTGGTGAAACAATCTGCACGTGCTGGGAATGTGTGACGACCAATCTGCTGCCGTTGATTGGATGTTAGTGGTTACTTAGATTTGGCTTGCCTGCGGCCCTCAGGCCACTTGGCGGCATGTCAGTATAGATGAGCATCTGAAAGCACCAGCATTCTACGCGCAGGCGGACATGTTCCTCCCTTGGAGGCAGGGGCTCATCTTGTTGTCACGGATTCAACATGGGGTTTGGGAATGAACCTGGGGATTTGGGCATTTGGTGGGACATGTCATCTTGTTAGCCGTTTCCCCAATGGTCATCCCATGTAGAGGACCTTTTGATCAAGCCCCATTTTTTGAGAGGAAACCACAAAGAACGGTTTGTAGGTACCTGTTCAGAACCAGCAAGTTATGTGTGCTCTGGTTCTGGTGTGCAGCCTTTGCGCAGGACGGTGGTTCCTCCGCCAGTTTGAGCGCGACAGGCCACCGAGTGTAGGGCCATGATGATATTTTGCATGTTGGGCAACGCTGGGCGTAGCGGAGGCACTGGCACAAACCTTCCCCATGACTTTACCGCGTATTGGCCCGATGTTCCTTGGCGCACAGAATTCATGCGTCGTGACCCCGCACAGTTACGGCGATGGCACAAGAATCGCCTTCAATTCTGGGACTCATTTTGCTGAGGCTGTTGGTGATTGCAGCAGTGATCATGCAGGCCTGCCGTGTGAAGGAAATGTTTGCGCGCCGACTTCAGGGCTTCGGTGGGTCATTGGACTGGCTGGGAACTGTTAGATATTTTGCAGATTTCTCCTTCGTTGGTGGTCCAGTGGTTTGGATGTCTCTGGTCGTTGCATCAGTACTAAAAGCTTGCTCATCCAAGTCTCCAGAACGGGGATTGACGTAGACCAAGTCGCAGGCGTCGGGGCATGCTCAATGCAATGTGGAGTTTGCGGAGACCGGCACTTTGCTGCAGACTCGTTGGTCCATCTCTCAGTGTGAACTTTACGTTGAGCCAAATTGCCCGGGCATTCGACCGGGTCGCATCAAACAGTGCGGGCTGCCATGCTGTGAATGCCAGAACTCACGAAGTCATTGTGACGGTTTCGGCACGCTCTTGAGAACTGTGTCTGAGGGCAGAGTCAAAGACTGGAAAGATGAAGCAGGATGGCCGCGGGGTTTCAATCCTTTCACAAGCACAGCCAATGCAACTAGGGTCCATTGGAAAAGTATTGCTGACGCCCTCACAGTCACGTTGCCATGGAACCACCAGAGGGTCCCTTTGAGAGGCAAGTTGTCTTCCGGGATGCCCCAGTCAGGTTCCATGCCAGTGGATGGGACAATGAGGATGTAACTGCTGCAATCAAATCGGCGTGACGCATCGCAATGATCTAAGTACATGACAGGAGGTTCTGGAGGCTCCGGAAGTTCCAGAGGTTCCTATCTCGCTACTCAGCTGCAGAGAGAAATTGGAATGTGAGGGTGTGCTCTGAAATTAGTTGGCGCCCTTTGGATTATGCTTAAATGGAAAGCGCATAGAAGCCATCCGTTTTTTGGGGATGCCCTTTTTGAGGAACCACCTTTGTGATCATGCTCACAGCGATTGCGTCTGCAGGAATGCTACTGGCTACATGTCGGATGATGACTTCGGTCGCATGGCGAGATCAGGTTGTGCTCACAACCGGTGTGACAGGCAGACTCTCAAATGACCTGCATGCGATGCCCCATTTTTTTCCGTTGACTTTTGGTTCTGTCAACCCAGTCACTGATTTCCATTCCCTTTGAGAGTTGCTTGACCTTTGCCGCTAAGGATCCGAGATGATCATTTCCTGGGATTTGGATGAGGTGCGACTGCGGAGAGCGATTTTATTTTTCTCCACTGTCCACAATCTTAAATTGCAGTCAGGTGAAAGTAGACGGCACAACCTCCTAATCTAGCTGGCATGCCACTATCTTGTAGATATGTAAGGAATAGTGCCATCTACTCTCACCCTGTCCATGTTGATCCGCCGAGATTGGCATGGCGAACTGGCCAACGTCCAAGCGAGGAATCTTTCATCGCGGGAGCCTCAGATTGCGTTGCCTCAAAATGTAAAACCACAGGATCCTTAAGAGCTGCAGCTCAGAACTTTCATCGCTGTAAGTTGGCTTCACTGTGATGTGAAAGGCGAGTGGCTTGGACTTGTGATGTTTATGTCAAGCCAGAGGATGTTTTTCGAAGTGACTGCTGCGCCTTTCGCGCTTCGCCTGTGCAGGTGGCTTGTGGGCCACGGTTCACTGGGACAGACACCACCAGTTGCCGGAGGGCTGGGGCTTTTACCACGTGCTGAAGTCTGGCGAGGTTGGGGTGATCTGGCGGTCGTTTTCAAATGTACAGAAGGCCTTAGCGCCCCCTAGGCCCAGAAAAGTCCTCAGCCCTCAGAAGGTTCCAAGAGCCCCTTCAAGTTAGATCCTTCTAAGGGTGGGGGGCTTTTGATTTCCTGTCCAAAACAAGGGAATCATGCCCAAAAAGCAACCCTTCAAAAAATACTCGCACACATACGCCAAAATAGTCAGCGTAGGCTTTGTCTCCAAATGAGATATGTCAAAGGGGCTTCGGTTTCCGATTGGTTTCCCTTCAAACACACCCACAGATGCCCTCCAACAGAAACCCTCAATCAAAACAGTTGTGCGTGGAAGTTAGCAGGTAAGTCCAACCATGAGATATCGGCCCAACCAGCTCGAAACGTGGTTTAGGTTGCATCCCAGCACTGCAAGTTTAGTTGTAGGGGGCCACTGAGGTTGCTTGTCGTGTGAACAATGCTGGATCCAATGACAACCGTCCTCTCAATGTCAGGCGTGATCCCTGATACAGCCAAACTATCTAGGCCGCCTTTGTGCATTCTCTTGTTCTTGTTTCGAGTCTCACATCAGAGTTTTGAAATCGCCACCTCCTAAGTAACGCATAGGAAGGGGGCGCACAATTAATCAAAGCGGGCTTGCAAAAGTAGTTGGGCTGAATCAAGCCTGATGAACTGATTTTTGCATTGTTCAGCCTGCCCAGCCCTGCCAACCGTGACATGGCTGGGCTGGTTTTGAAGGGGTTTACCGAGTCACACCTCACAGGTGAAGGGAGGATTCAATCAATTGACAGTGTTTGTGTTTTAGAGCTCGGATTGGCAGTGTTTTGTGTTTTTGTCTCCTCAAAAAGAAAGTTAGGGCCGGTTTAAGATTCAGTAAGCCAACACGGCGGAATCCAATTTGTCCGCGAGCCTCGCTATAGCTTCTGTTGCTGCTTGCTAAGCCCTGCTCTGGGTTTGAGCCCTCAGTCGGGCCGCGAATGTGCTTAGCTTGACAGGGACAGCCTTAGGGGGGGAGGGGGGAGGTTTTTTTTGGGTCCACTCGGTGAATACATGTTCCAAAAGAGGAGCAGCGGTTTTGAGCCGCGGGACAAAGGAGAACCCCCCCCCCCCTCCGCGTGCGGTTTTTCTAAGATTCCGAGCGGATCCCTGTCGCCAATTTTCGTGGGTAGTTCTACTTTAGTCTTCGCGTAAGGCCTAAGCCTTTAACCATGGAGTGCCCTTTGGCGATCACTTTGGCTGTCGCGCCTTCCCCGGGCCCAGCTCTTCGACTGGACCGCCTTGGGCCTTTGCTTTGTGGCGGCGCTGCTCCTGCGGTGGTTCTGGCTCTGGCAGGAGTTGTTGCGAGTTTCGCCGACTCGGAGGGGCCTTTGGTTTTTGGGTCTTTTCAGGAGCCCCTATGAATGGAATCTTTATGGGTTGGGGAATGCTCACAAGACTTTTGGAGTTGTGTTTTCTTTTGAAGGGTTCCACAGCTTTGCTTGTCTTAAGATGTCTCAAATTGTCACCCTTGTTGCAGAGGCAACAAACAGTTCTTGTCCTTTTTGGTGGGTGATGTCTCAGGGGAACATATGGAGCTAGTTGGCCAATATGAAGAGTTTTCCCTCCAGAATGAGTTGGCGATCGTGCCAAACCTCAAGAACATGTTTGCACTCAAAAGTCAGGTCGCTGACCCGGCGCGTGCAAGCAACAGACGTATTTGTGCTGATTTTGCGTGTTACTCAGGACTGTGATGAGAAGAAGTGACTTTGGCTGAACATGAACAGCCTGGGTCATTTTCTTGCACTGTCTTTCCAAGGCGTCGTTTTATTTTTTGGAAGGACACCGCCGGTTGCCCCGAGGTTTTCGTCACACGTGCTTTCAATGTGCGCTTGGCTGCTGGTTGCCGGCTGTATGGCCTTGGCGATGTTCCTCCGCTTTGGCAAGGTTCGGGACTCGGCGACGACCAAAAAGGATTTGCTGCATGGCATGAGGAAGTCTTTGTTCTTTCAGGGCACCTCCCCCCCCCCCCAACGTCCAGAGGTGGCAACTTGTTTCCTTCTTTTTGGAGAGATTTGCCTTTCAGCTCAAGCACCAAAACAAAGCTGGTTGGAATTTTCAGATGCCTGCAACGCTTACACAGTGCACATTTGCATGCAGCGAGTTGGCGCGACATTGTCTTGTATTGCCAGGCAGATGGTGTGGACTGGATCGCTGGGTACTTCTTTGAGCTGTTTTTCATGCTTGATGCTTGGATGAGCAGCATGGGTGTTGTTCAAGCAAGGAAACTCGTAAATTGGCACATTTCCTTTGCTTCGTCTTCAACACTATCCAAAAACGGTCCATCTTGTTGAGACACCCGCACATCTTCAGCTTTTGTGTGGGCACGTGTTGGCCATAGGCAACCAGCTGAATGCAGATTGCGCATGTCCAGGGCACCCGCCCCACGAGGACACTCATGAGCCCCAAGGCACACCAGCTGCTCACACGCCACTTCGTTGGGCCCTCTTGCGAAGAAAGCTGAGGAAAATGTCTTCGTCTTTCGATCTGTGATTACTTCACTCAGCTTGCCGTCGCGAACGGTGTCGCGGGTGCTGGAAGCCAGGCTGCAAGTGGAGCCTGCCAAGCAGGCAGTTGCAGTTTGTCACAAAACTAAAACCTTAGGAGGACCCAACAAGTTGTGGATTAGACCTCCTTTTGTCGTGCGTGTGAAGCTGATCCAAAAAGGGCTTCCCGTTTTAAAGGACACATCCATTTGACGATCAGTGCCATGCTTGCAACTGACGCCTCTGATTTGTTTCGCAAGTTTGCCACAATTCAAGTTGATCAATCAGTCTGCCTGGAGTTTTTTACTTGCCTTCCAAACAGCGGAAATAAGTGGTGGATTTCCTGAAGACACGAATGCTTGTCTTTCCACTGATTGGGTTTGTCGGGCATCCCTTTTCACTGGGGGTGGTCGCTGACCGTCGGCCATGCACAGTTGTGAGAATGTGACTGTAGTGGATCCAGATGCACGGCTGAGGAAGGAGTGGTGTGGGCGCAGATTATGTTTGAAGCTGCTGCTAGGCTGGCACTGCCTCAAAGGTCCACCCACTAGCCATTCCTGGGCACCATTTCACGGCCTGAACCCAAGGGGCGAGTGGATGGTAGGGGATGTTCTTAATCAATCAGGATTTGAAGCGGATTTCTGCATGAAGGTAAGTCCTCCCGTGGTTTGGGTATCTTCTTTCCGACAAGGTTTCACTGTTATATTTATGGCCCATGGCAACATTGCTCACCCCTTGTCGGCCTATTGATATCCATGCTAATAGCCTACTTCCAGAACGTTTCATTGGGCTTGGAATATGGACTCACCCAAAAGGGTGGTTGGTCTTGAAATTTGAAGCAGCCAAATCGGTACCGTTGAAAAGGCGGTCACATGGGGAACAAGCGGGGAAGCGTCCCAAATGTCAAATTCATAATTTCTTTCCGGTTGTTTGCTTTTCAAAGCAACGCCAAAGACAGGAGTCCGTATCAACTCAAAGCCTGAAAGCCAGACCCAATCTGGGTTGCGCCGGTTTTGTGCCCGAGGTATTCTTCTTGGGCTTGGCTCACAAGCTGCGGTCCGTGCACTTCTTGCCTCACTTGCTGGGGCTGGGCCTGGCCTGCTTCGGTCTGCCGGACGCTTAGATGTGTAGGGGTCCCCTATCTCTCCCTGTTTGGCGGAGATTTTACACATGACGTTTTGGCCTATTCAAGGTGATTTTCCCTTCTATCTCAGTTTGCGTATGACTTTCTGGACCAATTGTAGCTGACCCTCCTGTTGGTGGCTAAGCATTGATGGTGATCTGCCCTTCGTAGGGAACCCTGATGCACACGCAGACAGATATAGTTTCAGTTGAGTCGAGCTTTTGGTCTTTCTGCTTCGTGTCGTATTGCTATTGCGGAGATCTCCCCTTGTGCAGGTCAACCATGCTGGAGACGGGCAAATCGCAGGCAAGCTGTGAGGGCAAAGCGCAGGCATGCTGTGATGATTTCTTTCTTTTCTTTGGCAAGCCTTGCGAGTCCTGGCAGTCAGCCAAACCAGTTTCCCCTCAAATTGGCTCCGGCGGATACAATGTATTCCCCATTGTTAGCTTAGAGAAGGTGTTTCTGGGGTAGTGGAACCGGTTGTAGGATAAGCTAAAGTCCTTACCCTCCGGTGCCCAGCGGCGCAGACTCCCATGGCGGCCGTGGCTTCTGTGTTGCAGAACGTGACTCCGCCAACATCTGAGAGCAGCCCGTCAGCAGTGAAATGGCATGCGCATAGCACACGACTTGGTATCAGAGTAGGGTGTTTCTCCTACCTCCAAACCATTCTCCCAGCAACCCTAGTTAGTTTGAGGGAAAAAACAATTGGGACAAAGAAGGCCCTTGTGGATAAGGGTTGGCCAATGGCTACTCCACTTGTGCAGCCGACGTAGTGCCACACATCGAAAGGCGAACGTTCTCTGTTTTGGGGTCACTTCGTTTGCCTTTCTTCCGCAAGCTGTCGGGTGCGAACAAGCGTAAGGACATGATTTGGACGAGGGCTTCCTAACTTTCGAGGGCAAAAGGCCGGCAGAGCGTGGGATGGGTCCCGTGTGTGTGTGTGTGTGTGTGTGTGTGTGTGTGTGTGTGTGTGTGTGTGCGTCTCAAAATAATGGCGATCTTCCTTTTGGTGTCCCTCTAAGCTCTAAACCAAGGTAATTTTCGTAAAAAGGGTACCCTCAACACAGACACAGACACAGACACAGACACAGACACAGACACAGACACAGACACAGATGCAGACGCAGACGCAGACACCGACGCAGACAGACACAGACACAGACGTAGACTTAGACACAGTCGCACAGTCACACAGATGCAGGGACACACGGACACACAGACACACAGGCACGCAGACACACAGACACACACGGACACACAGACACACAGACACGCAGACACACAGGCAAAGGCAGACACAGACATAGACACAAACACAGACGCAGGCAGACACAGAGGCAGAGGCAGAGGCAGGCACAGACACAGACACAGATACAGAAAGAGATGGACCCAAACACACAGGCACGCAGTCACGCCGACACACAGACACACAGACATCCACAGACGCCCAGAGACACCCACGGACACCCAGAGAAATCCACAGACGCAGACACCCACAGACACCGACAGACACCCACAGAAATACAGACACCCACAGACACCCACAGACACCCACAGACACCCACAGGCACCCACAAACACCCACAGGCACCCACAAGCACACAAACACGCAGACACACAGACAGACAGACACACAGACACACAGATACACAGGGATAGGCACAGGCAGACATAGACATAGACACAGACACATACACAGACACAGACACACATCCAGGTGCACCAAGGCAGGGCCAAATACTTCGACGCGAAATATTGCCATGATTACTTCCTTGAGGAGCTCTCAGCATTTTCACAGGATGTGTGCTGCGGTCTGCAGTAGGGTTGTTGGAAAGCATTGAATTCCAGATGACATCGGAGGCTTCAACTGACCACCGCTGGTGTAGTGTTGATAGCTTTGCTGCTGGTGGCCTCTTGGCATTCGAACAAATGCGGATTGACACGGAACCCCAAATAAACACCATGAGGTTCCATGTCAACTTGCAGGGTCCTATGGTTTCTTGCTTTCTTCCGGCCGTTGCTGCACAGTGGCTTTGCTTGCGCAACAAGGTTGCATGTTGGCTTGTGCTATCATGGACTGAGACTGAGGATTTTCTATGTGAGATTGACACTGTAGCTTGGCGAATTTGCACTGCAGCTGCTTTTTGCGGATGAGCCTGAAACATGACCCAAGTACAATGTATCCCAAGGTACTGACAAAGATAGAAGAAATTCCGCTCTTTGACTGCACAGACTGACATGCATGTATGAAAGTGTTCAATCTGAGTCTTCCCATTGACTGGTGTTGCTCTGGGGCCAGTCTTTTTGTTTGAATGGCGGGTTAAAGGCATTCCTGGCGCTTCAGCATGTGGGTATGTGTTCAAAAATTAGCTAAATCCCTTGAAAATGAGAGAGCGTGAAACCAGATCGGGTTCCTCTCTCTTGGTGCATGTTGACTTGCGGCTTCTCCAGAGGAAAAGTAGTCTTCCAAAATTCTGGTGTCAGTTTCCATGATTTTTTCAGGGCGGGTACTTTCCACTAGTGGATTGGAGGACGGGAGCTGGGGATTTGCACCTCCAGTTCCTCTTCAAAGAAGGTGCTCGAAGCCTTGCATCCTTTCGGGCCCAAATACCATTTCGAGCAAGGATTTGGGGAGGATCCCACTTGGATGTTTCCCCAACCATGGTTACAAGTGGGACCACAAAAGTCTGTGAACAAAATAAACCATGGTTATGATCTACAAAGTCGGTTGAACATGCAAGTTGATCTCCCCTTCACGGTCCAAACAAGGGGTCTCCCATGAGACAGACCCAGTTTGTGGATGCAAGAAACGGACCACGGGTACCCGGCGTACGGCACGTGAACTTGACAGATCCGGCCGGCGTGAAGCTCCCAGGAACCCCTTCGTGGCTTTCAGCTCCTCGGCCTTGGCCGCTTTCTCTTTGCCCGAGCTGCGCCTTGGACGAATTGAGGCCGGTGAGGCCGGTGAGGCTGTGGGGGGTGGATGGTTCCTGTTGGGAAATTAGTTCAATCCATCCGACAGGATAACTTAAACTATCTAAAGGCATGCTTGGACGTTCAACCTACGCCCCATGGTTATAACTTTCTGACCAAGTGGCTTGCCCATTAAAGGAAGTACCCTTTCAAATCTGCTAGAGACAAACAAAAGCAGGCAAGGACCGAACAAAATCAACAACATCCTTTTGAGCCAGAGACCCTGACAAATGCAGACTATGCCTGAGAACGACATCAAATGGCTGGTTCCGCACAGACGACCCAAGCTGACAGCTCAAAAGATTTAGGTCCATCTGAAAGTTGGAACCGCGAGGTTCTTGCTCAGCCAAGACTTGCTCTTCCGCTTCCCGCTGGCCGCGCGCCCAGCCCTGCCACGGATTCCCATGGTGCCGCGGATCGAGTGCACTGAGACGGGTTCGCGTGTGGGTTTCCCGTTTGGAGTTGGTACCCCCTTTTTGGGATTGGTTCAAGCTGGACACCAAACAAAAGCCGAAGCCCGTTTTCCTGAAGAGGTAATCTACCGAAGCTGGGCAAGCTTGTGAAGCAGGCTACTTAAGAGGGTCAAGTGAGAGATGGCTGTGTCTCAAAATGGCCCCGAAAACCGGCTCCAGTTTCCCTTTGGTTTTCCTTATCTCCTTGTAAACAGTCCAAAAGGGGTAGCCTCAAACGAGAGCATACCAGGTGAAGCCATAAGCAACAAGCAATGGGTTTGAAATTGGTGAACTAGTTGCTGCCAGAAACAGTTTTGAGAACTTTGCGGTTCTTCGCCTTTGCTAGTTTCAACAAACTCATCCTCATTTAGGAGCTCCATGTGCAAGTCTCGTGCTCCATGCGCTCTCACGATCCATGGAGTGCGGGCTACTGCCGGAGCCGCTGGGCTCGTGGGACCAGGTGAAGGCGCCTCGGCGGCTGGTGGTCTTCCGGTTTTGGGCGCTGAACAAATCTTGGGGGATCAACACAAAAGCCAATTCGCTTCGGAAAGCCCAAAGGCTGAGACAAACCCAGTTAGGTGTGAGTTTCTTTGGAGTTGCAACCCTTGGTTGGGTGGTTTGAACAGCAACGCCCATTTTAAGCCTTTGCTATTTCGTCACAAATCAATTTTAGCCGCAATCAACACTTGGGTAGACTCTGTCGAGGATAGTCCCCGGACAAATCGATGCGGATATTTCCCTTTTTTATTCTTTGCATGGTTTTGGACATCATTCTGGTTTGTCTCAAACTAAGGAACTTGTTTGAAAACCATGCGGGCTGTGTGGAGATCGGTCAAAGGGAAACCAAAAAGAACTCCTGGCCGTGTTCAAGGGTGCAAATATGTCCAAGTCCCACTTTGCGAAAGACCTGTTTGACCAAAGTGCTTTGGTGCCTGTTGTTCAATGCATTGAAGCTGACGGTCAACAAGATGAACCGCATGAAACCGATGCGTCCCAAAGTGGCCGAAACTTTTGACAGCTTTTACCTGAAGGCGGGCGTCCAGCAAGCAGTTTCACAAGCCACAGAGTGTGCTGACGTCTAAGAGGTGCTATGCATGCGCGCACATCCTATTTGATGTGTCTTGCGGCGCCAAGGAGCTGTTGTCGCAGATTTTGGTGGACCACAAGGCGCCGGATCGGGCAGTTCGTTCTTCTTGCCTCAGTCCGGGGTGATCGGGGACGGGGGCGGACCCGGGGTGGTTCCGGGGAGAGCTCTGGCGCATGGGGCAGGAGGGTTCCGCTTAGGAGGGGGAGAACGGGGATGTCTGGGCAGGTTCCCAGGAGTGTGCACAAGCTGTTGGGATGGCCAGCCATTTGGGATGCGCATGTCCACCAGTTCTGGAGTCGTTCTCTGCAGAGACCTAGCGACTTTTCAACTAGCTGGAGCGAGATTGCCAGACCACTCGGATTGCAAGCTTTTTTGTGCCAGCTTAAAGCTTTGTGTGAACAACTTGCAAACTGCCCCCGCTACCAAGCGTCTCATGTTTTGCCAGAGCATTGAACTGAACAGCATGAACCGAGGAAACCCTCCAACCAGTGAAACCGATTAAATGGGTGTGCCGATTCCAAAAAAGAAACAACTTCCAAGTTAGACCTGCCCTCAGGCCGGCTTCCGAGCCTTCCAAGAACACCAGGATGCACTGCTGGAGCTGGCAGCTGACGGGCTGGCCATCACAACGTGCGCGCTCGGGCGATTTGGACGCAGTTTGGTGTCGGCCTGAGCAGGATTGATTGGGTATGAACATCAATTGCTTGTAGGACCTGTAAGGTCGAACAACTTGCTCACTTTCGCATTTGGACGTGCTGGCACAACTGCGAGATCCCTTTAACAAGCTTATTTGCTTTGAGGCATGCAAATGATGCAGGTTTCGGGCCTGGCAATAACTGCTGTTTATTCCAACATCATCAGCATCACCAGCATCGCTAGGGTCGCTGGCAGCCAGCATCACCAACATCTCTAGCATTACCAGCACCACCAGCAAACCGCAGAAACACCAGCCCAGAAGTACTTCAAGCGGGTTCAGACTTCCGACATAACATACTGTACAACACAAGGAGTAACAAACAAAGGTAGCCAGCAATGACCGACCCACCCGTTAGCTTTGAGTTTAATATGCAACACCCTCAAACATGGTGGATTCAAACCCCACTTAAATGATGTCCACCCAACGTTTCCCAATTGAACAAGTCTTGTTTTCCCAGAGGCGTGGACTTGCCCTTTGATTACATTTTGGTTTCGCTTTCAACCAAACTAAAAAAGAGTACCCTCATCCGACTCGAGGCACTTCAGCTTGCGCCTGTCACTACTGATCTTCAGCGGCCCAGAGGAGCGGTGGCTGCAGCTGCAGGAGGAGCTGGTGCCATGGCAAATAGCCTCGGCAATCGAGGCGCGAGGGGGCGAGGCGGGGTGGCAAGGGGTTTGCTCTTTGGAACCACCTTCCCCCTTTGATGTTTTGGCAGTTGGGTGCTTCCTAGGATTTTCTGTCCCAAAAGCGGGGGGGGGGGGGGGGTTGATAGTGGGGGCTAGGTGGTGAGGGGGGGCGAGGGGTGAAAGGGGTTCTGGAGCTCAAAATCGGGGGGGGGGAGGGTTGACCCGCAAAGACACAAAGAGATCTTCCTAATATTTTTTTTTTGGGTGGCTGACATCCAAGACTGCTCTTTGGTACCGAAAGCTTTTGGCCTTTAGGCCCGTGGATCTGGCGGGTCTCGTTCTTTAGTTCATTCCTTGGTACACGTTTGGGATTATGGATATGGCTTGCTGCCCTTGTGGCATGCTCATTTTTGCGTGGCCCTTTCCTGTTCAGACGGCGTGGAGATGAGTGCTCAGATGTTCGAATGCATCCGCCGTCATCTGGGTTCCACTTGGATGGCTTTAGGTTCGGAGGACCGAATCAAACAAACACGCTGTGGCCTGTAGAGCTATGTTCGATTGGAGTTCTAAAGCACCTTGGCTCATTTCAGACTCAATGCAGGTGTATGTTTGCTGCAAAGGCAGCTCCTTGTTCCCAACTTCCATCCTTCTCCGTCCTCGGTCGGTTCCAAATCCCAAACCCAAACATGACCAATCATCTTTGACGCAGGTCTTGCAGAGCGGGTGGCCCGTCTTTGGTCTCCTGGGGCTCTTGGCCTACAAGCTGACCCGCGACGGGCGCGCAGAAAAGCCCAGCTGCACGCAGCCGCTGGAGTCCTTCCGCATTCGCTACGAGGAGAGATGAGGCACACTAAAGCCGGGGCAGACGAAGGTTAGAGACAGTCCCAACCATAAAGCGGTGCGGCCACCCTCTTGATTCACTCCAAATACAGGAATCTCACCCATTTGAAGTAGGGACCATCCCAAATGGTCGTTTGTTGGTTGCTTGAAACCTGCACATCAAACACAAAGGGACCGAACATGCATCCATCTCTCTGTGTGTGTGTGTGTGTTTCAACATAGCGGATCCCAAGAAAGGTGGTATCAGTGCTTCTGTTCGAGAAGTGTTTAAAATCGTTTCCCTTTAAGTTCCCTTAAGATCGACCCCGCCGTTTTCTTGGCCGTGGCTTAGGAGGCGATGCTTCTGGGCAAGGAGGTGCCCTTCAGTCGCGACGTGGAGACCAGTGCGCTGCGCCTGCTGCCGCCGAATGAGGTGAACCGCACGGAGCTGGGCACGCTGAGCCGGGCGCCTTGGCGCCAGTCTCTCGGGGAACCAACCGGAGAACGCGGCAGGACTTTGGGCTTGCAAAAAAGACCTGGGACAAAGGCTGGAATGCATGTGGTACACTGGCAGGGTGGTAAGGCCTGTTAAACGCTGGCTCTCAATGCCTGCCTCGTTTGGCGGGGGGGCCCCAAGAGGAAATTTTTCAGGTGCCATTTGTGTTTGGTTTTTTGGGTTATGTGCAGGCAATTGGCTTGGGTTTGCAGGGGTGAAGTAGTGTGGGTGAGCTGATTGAAAGTTGTCAGGGATTTTAACCTCACCACAAGGATTGTCATGATGCTGGGGATGCTGGAGATGCGGAATATGGCTGCCAAAATGGGGGGGTGCCAGGATGCGGGGCATGCTGACGGAGAGACACTGGGGATACTGGGATGCAGTGGTGCAGCGCAGGAGGCAATCGTTGATGGAACACGTAAAGTTAGACGCATCGGCAAAGCCCTGATGTTTCAACAGCCACACTGACCGGGTTTGTCTGTTGCTGAGGTTTACATTGAACAAACGAACGGGCGCCCAACGTGCGGACAGATTCTTGTAGTGTTTGATGGCTCGTCAATACCCAATGTATCGGCTAGGTGAGAAACGGCACAAATTTGCAAAGAATCCAGCGACCGATCGACAAATGAAAAAACCAACAACGCATTTGTTTACTTTGATGACCAGTCCGTGCTACTACTTTGTGCCGGGGTGGAATAGTGCCTGAACACATTTCTGGACTTGGATGTTAAGAAACCAGCTGCGGGAGATTCTACAGAAAGTTTGTAGTTATGTGAAGATTTCCTGCAGCTGGTTTGAATATAACTCATGATTTTGTATCAACCGAGCCATGTCGACTACTGACCATGATGACAACACACAGAAGTTCGGTGGGCTCCAAGAGCAAACCCAACTGTCGCAAGTAGGGCTACAAAAGGAATCACAGCCAAACAGCATAAGACCTCATCTCTTTTTGCCTTTGTTTTGTTCGCGGCAATGGTTTATCTTCCTTTGAAAAGCAAGCCCAAGCTGGAAACCATTTATTCTCGGAGTGACCAACAAGTTTTGTTTGATGCCTCTCCCCAATTTCGGGTGCATTGACAAACCCAACGCACTGTCACAACCCCCCCTTTCACGGAGACTACGACTGTGTTGGGCCTACGCTCGGACGCGTCGGACTCGTCGTGCCGAGGCCTGCCTGCTGGGCGCGGGGTTGCC